AGTGTGGGGCAGGGTGGGGGTGGGATCGGGAAGCCGAGTGAAATGATGCAGGTAACTAACTGTGTGACTCAGACCGAGGGACCGACTGCTGAGACGGCAGAGAATGAGAAAGTCAGGGAGAGAAGCAGAAATGGAAGGACCCCTTTGGGGGAGGCGTGGAAAGGTGATGCTCTTTTCAGAGTGAGTTTGGTTTCCAAACACTCTAGGGTTGCATTAGGCATTCAGACCTAACCCCCAAAGGCGAAGGCTTTATCGGGGACGATTGCTCTTTCATTTACCTCTCGCCCAGATGAGTAAGTCTGGGTTCTCTTCTGTGCGGTAAACCTAGAAGCAGAGGCCTTCCTGCCTCTCAGAAGCTTAAAAATACTTCTCTTGGCCACTCGCCCAGTGGGCCTTCAGAGACCAGAGTGCACAGGACAGTGTGTGACGCACACGGGTGCTCCAGTCGCTTCTTGCTCCCTTCTCACGTGGTCTGGCGAAGGTAGAAATGGCACTTTTACCTGGAACAGTGCAAGTTCAGTGAAGGCTGAGGTTTTGGGTGCAGCCGTCTTAGCTCCCTCATCCTAAGCGTTAACTCTCCAACCCTGTCAGATTTTGTGTCTTTACCAAAAACTTCCTGTGAATGTCTTTGCTGGTCACTGTTGAGGACAATAAGGAGCCCTGTCCTCCTGGGGGCGCTGTGCCAGGAGTGCCAAGCAGCCGCTTTTTCTGGGAATGACCATGAACGTAGCTCCTGAAGATACCGCGTAGTTCTCTCTGCCTGGGAGCGTGCGTCCTGACTAATAGGACGGGGCCTCTACAGGAACGTTCGCCTGGCTGCTGTGGGGACCCCAGCCTCTCCTGACAGCGGGTTGGAAATTTCCGCTGGTGCTTTTTTTTTTTTTCTTTTTCTTTTTAAAAGAATCATTTATTGATTTAAAGAGAGAGGAAGGAAGATGGAGAGAGAGATAGAAACATCGATGTAAGAGCACAACATCGATCAGCTGCCTCCTGCATGCCCAGAACCTCCAGGTGCATGGAAAAACAGCCAGTCGACTGAGCCACGCCAGCCAGGGCTCCTCCAGTGCTCTGACCATGCTCTCACCCCGCGTTTTTGTCTGTCTCCTCAAATCAGTCTGCACACTGGTTACCTTGAGCACTAGGCACTTTGTTACTGTTTTGTGGGCGCTTCCACCGCCCATTAGAGAGAGAGAATTGGGGCAGGGGGTGGCGTCCTTGAATCGAGGTCTCAGCCCCTCTTGCCTCAGCTGACCTTCATGGTTTCTCTCCACAGGCCCCACATCAAGACCATCTTCCAGGGCATCGCTGCGAAAGTGGGAACCGGAGAGCCCTGCTGTGACTGGGCAAGTGCTGGGCTCTTCCAAGCCAGCGGGCGGGCAACACGGGCACAAACACGACCAAGGCACAAGGCCACGGGGCCACCTTGGTCCCAGCGGTTGGCTTTGTGACATAATGCTTCTCAGTCTTTAAGTCACTAGCACAGCTGATGCCTAAAAGGTGTGCCTGTTGCACACGTCCTTGCATCTGAGTGGGCTGTTCACAACCTTGGGGTTGGTAATAAAAGCAGCCCTCCTCCAGCACCTAAAAGACGGACAGATCCTTAAAGAGGAACAGGAAGGATGGGGCAAAGTAAGATGCTTGAGCTGTGTTTCGTCACGGCTGAGGGAGGAATGTCCGAATCAAAAGGGGTCTGCTCACGCTGGGGGCATTCTGCTTGGACGGTAGGCCGTGGCCTCCGCCCTGAACGAGACAGTGGCCTGGGCTCACACACACACCCCCTTCCTGTACTTTGTGTTGCTGTTAAAGTAAATTCAGCCCCTTGCTGTGGCCTCAGTCCACACCGTGGATGGAAAACACTAGGCTCGGAGACCCGAGTTGTAACTCCAGCTCTCCATTAACTAACCGGGTGGCAATAGGCAAGTCTCTTACCTGCCTGGGCTCCGTCTTCTCACCTGTAAAATATGGGATTGGGCTGCATGGTCTCCAAGATCTTTTTAGCTCCCAGCCCCTTTTTATTTTGTACCAGCACTTGTATGTGCTATTTTCATTGTATTAGGTTTATTTTCTATGTGATAAAAGGTAGAGGTGAAACAGGGACTGAGGGCTCTGCGGAATGAGGGAGGCCCTCCCTCCTGGGCCGGCAGTACCCCGTGACTTTAGCCATAGCAGCGGAGCGGGTCCTTAGTTGTAACTGGTGGTCATTGAATTCAGTCATAGTCCGCTTAGGAGTAGAGGGGCCAGGGCTGTGGTTTAGAGCGTTGACTCATTTCCTCGTTAGTATGAAGGATTGGGAAGGGAGCTTTCATTCCTTGCCAATAGAGCAAGAACGTACAACAAAAGTACAATGACAGTAGCTGCTGTTTAGTTCCACTGAGGACTGACTCAGGAAGGAGAGCAGTCCTTGCCCTTATGTATCTCGGTCCAGTCAGGTTGACGTTCTGTAGCTTCACAGCTTAGTCTCAGGGTATTGAAACAACTGGTATCCACGAGAAAAGCAGGGGCTCTTCTGTTCACTTTTGAACTTACAGGAAGGATGGGGTGAGGTAAGATGTTATTGGCCGTGTTACTTCATGGCCACAGAGTGTCAAAATCAGAGGGGTAGGTGGGCAATAGAAATAGACAAAGGAAGTCTCTGGTGTAAACGTCGATGGTATCAAGTCAAGCAGTGACTGCCAGGAGAGACACTGCTCAGGTCACCCAAACATCTGGCCCACCGGCAGGTGCCCCATCATGGAGATGGGCGCATGTGACTGCAGAGTCCGGTGCCGTGCAGTGTTTGACCCCTGGCACTCCCTTCGTTCTGATGCCTTGCCCACTAAACAGTTTTCAGATAATGGGGCTTCCCAAGTAGCTTGTCTATAGGGACAGAATGTGTCAATCAGACTGACACTTGCAGCCACTAAGATCCACAGTTAAATTTCTCATCATAAATTCATAAACTGTATTGTGATTTTATACATCTTCCCAGCTTTGTTATAAAATCAGCATCTTGTCAACTATGAGACCCTGGCAAGAGCATCTCCGTGCATACAAGGTTGAGGGCCACACCTGGGAGCTAAAGTCATTTTTATCTCTCAGTAGCCATAGAAACAACTACAGTACACTTATATATATTTTTTAAAGTACAAGCGATTTAATTAGCCAAGTTATTGTAGCCTCCAGTAGCTACGAGAGTGGTAGCTTCAGGAAAAAGGAGACTTCTTTCTTTGGGAGTGGGGGTTGCTTTTAGTAACAGTGAAAAAGACCAGAACTGTAGGCTGAAGAGCTGTAGGTGCTTTCAGTGAACTGGGGGGCTTTGAAAACTTTAGAGGAGGGAATTTGGAGTTTAACACGGGACTGCATGGAATCTTGCATTGAGTCGTTCTATACGGATTCTTGTTTTTAAAATACTGTAAATGTTTGCCTCACACGGGTTGTTTTCTGGGCGGGGAGGGGGTCGTGCTGAAGAACCTGCCGCGGGCTTGTCTGGTGTCCTCTGCCCCTCTGACGGCCTCTGGGCGCTGTGCTCTGGCAGGTGGGAGAAGAGGGGGCCGGGCACTTTGTGAAGATGGTGCACAATGGGATCGAATACGGCGACATGCAGCTGATCTGTGAGGCCTACCACCTGATGAAGGACGTCCTGGGCATGGAGCACGACGAGATGGCCCGGGTGAGCGCGGCCCGGCTCCCCCCACACCCTGAGCCCTCCTCTTGCTCTTCCTTCCGTCCTCCTGCCGCCTGGGTGGGCTCAGCCTGACCGAAGGGAGGCCTGTGAGACACAATAGCTGGTCGCTAGGCCAGAAGCCCTGCACTTGGCAGCCCTCCTGTGCGTCAGGCACTGTCGCTTTACCTGTGAGTCTCACTTGACCTTCCCGTTGTCCCACGTGGCAGGTGCCGTGGGAGCTTTCTCCCCGTTCACACACGGCAGAGCGGACAGAGCCGGGCAGGGAGCGCTCGTGTGGACACTACCCGGTTCTGCCGTTAGCATTTATCGAGCGTGTGTCCATTCCTCTGTCAGTTGAATCTTTTTTTAATACATTTCAAAGTAAACTACAGGCAGCAGTAGTCTTTTCTCTAAATACTTCAGCATCATGAATTAGGTAAACATTTATTTTAATTGAAAATATAGGAAGGTATATTCGTTCAGCGTCAAGTCTTTCTCTTTAGGTTCTAGCTGTCTTTCTTTTCATCAAGAATTTCTGGTTTCAGTTCTTTCAAGCGGAACATGATTTAAAGACACTTAAGAGGTACACAGTGCAGACCTTCTAGATTTTTTAACATCTTTCTCTAATCTTTAAATTTGTGTCATCCCCACTTACTTTTTTTCACTGACTTGCCCTTACTGTTCTTTCCAAACAATTTAACTTAGTTTTCATAGAAACAGTGGGTTTTTTTTTTCATGTTCATATTTAATTGGCTTACATAATATTTAATGGATTCATTCAGTATATGTATGTGTGTTTTACTGTATGCCAGGCATTGTTCTGAATGTTGGGGATATAATAGTAAAAAAACACACAAAGTCCCTGCCCTGGTGGAGCTGGGAAGACAGGCAGTAATGTTTAAATACAGACTATTAAACTAGTTAGTGACCACTGTTACCCAGAAAAGGACACTGGTGTGAGTGGTCTAGATCAGGCAGTCAGGGAAGGCTTCTGAGGAGGCGACGGAACGCCTGTCCTAAGCGGCAAACAGTGGTGCTCAGAAAGTGGGCCCGGCGGGTTGGAGAATACAGGTGGCTCAGCCAGTGTCCCCCTCAGCCGGTCGGCAACCCCCGCAGCCGGTGAGCACCCCCCGCAGCCGGGTCCCGGCCCTGCGAGACAGAGGCCTGCAGCCTCGGTCAGCATGGCCAGGGAAGCAGGAATCCGTCGGGGCGCCCGTGTCTAACCCTCGTTTCTCTCGCGTCTTGCACGTAGGCATTTGAGGACTGGAACAAGACAGAACTAGACTCGTTCCTGATTGAGATCACCGCCAATATCCTCAAGTTCCAAGACAGCGACGGCACGCCCCTGCTGCCCAAGATCAGGGACAGCGCGGGGCAGAAGGGCACGGGGAAGTGGACGGCCATCTCGGCCCTGGAGTACGGCGTGCCTGTCACCCTCATCGGTAACGCGCCGTTCACGCCCCTCACCGTGCGGGTGCGGTTGGCTTGGCGCCCAGCTGGGATGTTCGTGTAAACTGGTCTTTCGTTAGAGAATCCTCCACCTTCGCTGCCCCCCAGGGCCCTTCTGCTCTCTGCCGTGAAGGAGACTGTTGGGGGCTGAAGCTGCTCTTGAGTCTCTTCTTTATGACCCTTTTCCCAGTCGCAGGAGCTGGAGACAAACTCCGAAGTCACTGTCTTTCTTTCCCGATTTGATCTTTGGGGTAGTTTTAGTGATTTAATTGTAGTCAGTGACCCAAATCTCCAGTGGGTAAGGTAACTCGTTTTTCATACAGAAGTTCACAGAGTAACATAAGTTTATATACTCAGCATTTATTATCTTTTGCTGGGGTTTTCCTCCCAGGTATTTAAGAATTAAAATATGACCTATACATTCCAAGTCCTTTAATGTTCTCCTAAGTTCCTGCCCCTTCTTTTAGAAGAAAACTATCCTGAAGCGGTGTGCATCCTTCCCATCCATGTTTTTTATTTTGTAATAATGAGCTCAGCCTCAAACGCAACAGATGTACAGAGAAGAAAATAATAAAGCAGAGATAACAGAGAATGAGAGGACTAGTAAAAGTACAGTTTGGATCTTTAAAGTAAAATAGACATGCTTCTGGGAGATAGAAAAGGGAGACTGGGAGAAGGTGCCTGGCATGTTTGATGAAAGGCTGATCTCTGCTCCTAGCAGGTTGGCTCCCCTGTAACAAAACAGCATTTCCTGTCCTTCCAGAGACAGCCTGCCTTCCCCTCCCTGGTCTCCTCCTTCCTCTTGATTTCCTGACTTTTCCCACTCGGTTTACGGTGACCTGTGTGGTGGTAAGGCCCACAGTTCAGGAGGGCAGGAGGCTGCTTAGCCCTGCTCTGTATAGAAGGAGGAAGTTGGCTGATTTCTGGCTTATCTGAGTGACACCGTAGGCGGGGACCAAGAGAGCAATAGCTGGGAGCAGTTTCTTCATTGCTGACTCATTTTAAGAGTATTAGTCTCAAAAAGAATCTTACCCTCTCTTTAGAGACTGCACCCTTTCTACCAGTTGAAGGCAGGCTAGGGCCATCCCTGGGTGGGCCCCGTTTTGTCCGCAGGGCTAATGGGGACACCAGTCCTCCAGCCAACCCTGGGCTCACTGAAGGGTTTCGCCACACTTGCTTCCCTGCACCAGTTCTTACAAAGCTTCCTCCCACAAATGCTGGGTCATCGTGTGTGCACTGCAGGGGCGAGAGCATGGACACAGGGCACCGCCCCTATCCTGATTGTAGCATAAATGTCAGTTGAGAAAATAGTCTTTTATAAGGGACGATGTTGGAAGATTCTAAATGTCTTAATGCTAAAATACTGTTTTGCAATGTTTCTCATTCCAGTGAAGTCACATTGTGAAACTTTGATGGTGGTCGTGTGCACACCGAACACTAAACTACAGGCACACCTCATTTTATTACGCTTCAGAGCTTATGTTTTTTAATCATCACCCTAGAATATGTTCATTGATCTTAGAGAAAAAGGAAAGGAGAGAAATATCAATGTGAGGGAAACATCCATCAGTTTACCTCCCATATACCCCCCAACTGGGGATTGAACCCACAACCTTTTGGTATAGGGGCTACGCTCGAACTAGCTGAGCCACCTGAACAGAGCAGATATTGCATTTTTTACAAATGGAAGGCAACACCCTCCACCAGGAAAAAGATTATAATTCACTTTACTGCGACACTCGCCTTACTGCGGCGAGTTCTCTGACCGAACCACGATATCTGAGGTCTGCCTGGGTAGGGATTAGAAAAGGAGTGTTTTGAAGGGTGAATCTGTAAATGTTACTTCTTGGTGTTGTAGTTATTTCAAATTGATGGGTAGTTAGTGCTTCAAAAGAAAATAAATTGTGTCTTTGGTGAGCATTTAAAAATTCTAAGTCCTTGCCTTGAAATTGAAATTCTACTCATGGACCAGCACTGACTAATTCTGAATAATAGTGGTTTTACCACTTTATTTTTCCCTGAAAACTCGCCTTTGAATTTTTCTCGTTGATCCTTGGGGTTGAATGCCTGTGTTTGTGTCGGAAGGTTGACTTGGAGGTTCAGTTATCAAATTAACTGTTCAGAGCTTCTTATAAGAGTTGTTGTTTCTGATCCAGGTGAACTTTTGTGGCCTAAGGTTGAGACTTTCAGCTCTTCATACAACTGAAATTTTGCTCGTTGCTCCCCTCCTCCTCCGCAGCGCGTGCCCCCGTTTCCCCCGGATCTGTGTGAACCTTGGTAATATGTCCCCACCCCCCACAGGAGAAGCGGTCTTTGCCCGATGCTTGTCGTCGCTGAAGGACGAGAGGATTCAAGCCAGCAGGAAGCTGCAGGGCCCTCCAAAGACGCAGTTCAAAGGTGATAAGAAGTCATTCCTGGAGGACATTCGAAAGGTGGGGCCCTGTCCCTGGCAGTAGCCGCTGTTTGTCCCTTGGAGGGCAGCAGGGGTGGGGCTGTCCCGGGAGAACATACCGAGGCCACTGGGGAGGCAGAACCAAGTCCAGCGCCCTGTGGTCTGACTGCGGCCATCCTGTCCCGTCCCGCCCCCTCGCCCCTCCGGGATCCGCGCTGCTCGTGGGTCACCCCGAGCCTGTGTGTCACCCCGTAGGCCCTCTACGCTTCCAAGATCATCTCCTACGCCCAAGGCTTTATGCTGCTGAGACAGGCAGCCACCGAATTTGGCTGGACCCTCAACTATGGTGGCATCGCCTTGATGTGGAGGGGCGGCTGCATCATCAGAAGGTGCGTGACTCAGGGGACATGCCAGCTGCCGGGCTGGAGAGCGGAGGTCTCGGCACGGAACGTGTCCCGCTAACCGGTGCACCTCGTCCTCCCGGGTGCACTGGCCATGAGGCCGGTTTAGGGGCTCAGGTCTCCTTTCCCCGCACAGCAGTTGGTCTGACTACACTGTCTACACTGCGCCTTTTACAGTGGTCCCGGGAGCTCTGCCCCGCCCTCCCGCCTGCCTCCCAGGACTTTGGCTCATGTTTTCATTGAGGTCGCAGCTAGGGTTCCAGGCTGAGGAATGTGCCCGTCCAGGGCGTGTGTCAGCCTCCAGCTTCCTGCCCTGCGCTCTGCTGGGCTGTGCTGGGCGGGCACCTAGCCTGCGGAGGTGAAGACGGGGACCCCTTTGGTGACTGTTCCTCCTGCTGCCTGCAGGCCTGGCTCTAGGATTTCAGGTCATCACACATTAAAACTGATTTTCTTCACTCAGAGCATGTTAGGGTGATGGGATTACCTGTTACTCCAAGAAAAAAAGATTCATTGACTTCTCCCCTCTTGATTATTTCAGCGTGTTCCTGGGAAAGATAAAAGATGCATTTGACCGAAACCCAGACCTTCAGAACCTTCTGCTGGACGACTTCTTCAAGTCGGCCGTGGAGAGCTGCCAGGTAGGGAGCCCGGAGCGGGTGGTGCAGGGACTCTGTCCGGGAGCTTTGCTCTGGGGCCTTCGAGGAAAGCCCGTCATTCCTCACGGCACCGCTTACCTGTTGTGGGGGCCTCGTGTTTCTTGCGCAGGACTCCTGGCGGCGGACCATCAGCACTGGGGTGCAGGCGGGCATCCCCATGCCCTGCTTCACCACTGCCCTCTCCTTCTATGACGGATACAGACACGACATGCTGCCAGCCAACCTGATCCAGGTGAGCACTGGGAGGAGGCGGTAACGGTAACCCGGCAGGTACCCGAGGTCGTGCGCCTGCGTGTCATCCTAACCGACCCGTTTCTCGTTTTCTAGGCTCAGCGGGACTACTTTGGAGCTCACACCTATGAACTCTTAGCCAAACCAGGGAAGTTTATCCACACTAACTGGACAGGCCACGGGGGCAGCGTGGCCTCGTCTTCATACAACGCCTAACCACACCCGTGCCACCCACCACGATGCCAGAGACAGGGACATTCCACTTGCCACCCAGCACTGCTTACACGGCCCTTTGCCTTACTTTCTGCTCAGATCTTTTAGAGTAAAGCGTCATAGAGACTCCCGAACAAGTCAGCCTGAGCTCACTCATGGAGCAGTCCTGTGAGAACCGCCACTCCCTCTGCCCTCGCCTCCCAGGGCTGACCGGGAATTGTCATGTGCTCGGTAGCAGGAGCCTCCTCCTGAAGCTGTCGCTGTCCGCTGGATCAGGGAGGCCCCCTGAGTTTACCTGGACCAAGAGATCACAGAGAAGGGAAGGGACCCTGTGGAATCTGCTCAGACCAGAACCTTTGTATAGTGCAGCCGAATTCCCTTTTCCTCCACTTAATAAAAGCTACAGTATATTTCAGCTTTTTCTCCAGACTCTTAAATTCCCTCACCTCCGCCACATCGAGCTATGTCTCCCCGTCAGAAAGGCCTGCAACCAGCTTTATGACATTTGAATTGAGTTTGTTTCCCTCTAGCTTTATGGTTTCCTCTTTGTTTTCTTTAAGAAAAGGTTCCAGAATAATACAAGGGCCATCAAAGTTAGGGTGGTGGCTGGCTGGGGAAGGGCAAGGCGGCAGGCAGGGAGCGAGGGGGCAGGGGACTCCAGCATATCGGTTACCCTTCCTCTCTCAGGTTGGGCAGTGGGTTATGGATGCTCATTGCAACATCCTTCATGCCTTTTCCTATGTCAGATGTCTCATCATAAACATTTTAGACGGTTACATTCAAATGATGGGCTCTGCTTGGTTTGGTTCCTTCTCTTTCCCATGCCTGTGTCTTTTTGTCTCTTAGCCAGGCCCTCGGATTGGTGTGCAGTTTTTAGCAACCTAAGCCTGCTCCTGGAATCAGGCCTTATCACTTCATCTTATAAAAAGATAACATAATGCCCGGCCGGTGTGGCTCAGCAGCTGAGCATCGACCTACGTTGATTCCCGGTCAGGGCACATGGCCTGGGTTTCGGGATCGATCCCCAGCAGGGGGCATGCAGGAGGCAGCCGATCAATGACTCATGATTGATGTTTCTCTCTCCTCCTCTCCCTTCCCTCTCTGAAATCAATAAAGATATAAAAAAATTTTTTAAATGGCATACTGACTGTTCCTACTGTGTAGCCGGGGCACCCACCTGGTGGCTTTTCCTCTAGCTGCTCAACTCAGAAGGCTTCCTGGCGTGCTTTAGGAAGCCCTGAGGGGGCCTGAGGAGAGCAGACGGCTTCCGTGTTTACACAGGTAGTGTCTTTAATCGGACCCCTCATCTCTCAGGGGAATGCAGGGGGCAGTGAGCTACCTGGGGGACAGTCTTCAAGAACCGATCAGCCTGGACAGTGACCCCTCTGACCTGCCCCAGTTGCCCCCTCCCACTCTCACCACTGCCACCCACTGAGTCATGGCTCGGGATTCAGGATTCTTTTCAAGGCTGTGAACCTCTGAACCTAATGATCAGGCGGAGCCAGAACTTCCGGGCCCTGCTTCCCACTCCCGAAGCTGTGAGTGGTGCCCTGGGTTCAGTCCAAGTCCCTCTACTTACAAGCTGTATGACTTCGGGCAAAATAGTTACTACCCCTGGTCTCGGTTTTCTCACTTGTAAAATGGGGTTAATAATGGTACTGGCTCCTTGAGGCTATTTTGAGGATTCACCTGGGAAAACCCGACCAGCGATGGGCACATGATACGCACCCACATAAGTGGTGGTTATTAGCATCACCACTCCAGGGCGTGCCCGTCCCTGGAGCAGTGGGATTTCTGAGTCAGGAACCAGACAATACTTCAGGGCACCCAGCGGTGACTTCCTGTGGCAAACCAGCCCTCAGGAGGTTCCTGGGGGCTCCTGTGTGCTGCACAGTAGCTGTGGGTAAGGGAGGTGGAGGCCAGGAGGCCAGCGCAGGTAATCAAACCGAACCCACCCCACCCCCACTTCCAGAGGAGCCAGCAAGAAGCAGATTCTGACCCGACCTGGGGCCGGCCACACACCCTGCATTTCTGACACGCCCGCAGCTGACCCAGGTTGGAGCTTCTCCACGTTGAAGCACCAGAGCTAGAGTAGTTATTTTTAAATTTTATTTATTTTTTTATTGCTTTTTAGAGAAAGGAAGGGAGAGGGAGAGAGAGAAACATCAATGAGAGAGACATCGAGTGGCTGCCTCTGCAGGCCCCCTGCTGGGGATCGAGCCCCAAACTCAGGCAAGTGCCCTGACCGAATCAAACCCTGACCTCTTGGTTCCTAGGTCAACGGTCAACCACTGAGCCACACTGGCCGGGCTGGAGTGGTTATTTTAGCATGAAGAGTTCAAACCCTAACTACCATCTCCTGGCACTGGCACCTTGGGCAGGTTTTTTAAGTCCTGTGAGTTTCCATTTCTTCATCTGAAATAATAAATAATAAAAGCTACTTTTATTGTCAATGTGCCAGGTCCTCTGCCCAGGTCCTTGGCAGGGCCACTTTCTCTACTATATATGCTTTTACGCCTTTGGAATTTCACACGCCGTGACTTATTTGAAAAAGATCAATAAAGAACGCCATTAGCTCTAAAGGCAGCCAGGCCCACGGTGAGGAGCCTGGCTCTGCACCCATCCTGCCGGGCGCAGCTTAGCCCCACCACTGATTCGCTCTCACTTCCTGCGTCCCTGAAGGTCAGGGTAGTAAGAGCTACCTCCAGGGCCGCTCGGAGGCTTAAAGGCGGGCCGGCCGCACAGCGCGTGCGTGCAGGTGCCTGTTTCTCGCCCACCCGCTGAAGGCGAGGCGGCCGGAGGGCCCTGGAAGCGGGTGGAGGTGGCAGAGCCGCCCCGCCCCGCCAGGTCCACCCGTCCAGCCTCGCCGCAGGGACAGGCTGGTGGCTATTCTAGCCAAGGGGTGGGGCCGCTTCTTTCTGCTTTACTTGGGGCACAAAAGAGTGAGTTCTAAAGACACGTGGATCAGACAAGAGACTTCAGGCAGGGGACTCGCAGGCCTTACACACTCTTGGAGGCAGACGTGGAGCCCCGTCTTTCAGGAGGGCTAGAGACCTTCAGGATATACACACAGCCACACCGCGTAACGACGGCGTTCAGGTCGCCGGCCGGCCACATCCACGTCGGTGGTAGACGTACAGCCCAGGTGAGCGGTGGGCTGAACCGTCTAGGCTTGTGTAAGTGCCTCTAGGATGTTCCCACAACGACGGACTCACCGAACAACACAGTTCTCAGAATGTACCCGTCACCGAGTGGTGCGTAACTGTGTGCTGTGTTCAGTATGTAATAGATGTTAGCATATATATACATGTTTACTATCTAGTAATCTTATTTGCTGTTCCAGTTACTACTGAACAGCATATAACCAAACTCAGTGGCATGTTATTATTCCCCTAAGTCTGTGGTTAGGAATTCGGAAGGCGGGGGTGGGGTGGGCATGGGGGAGAAGGCTCGTCCCTGTTCCACAGTGTCTGGGCCCTCAGCTAGGAAGACTGGAAAGCTTGGGGGGCACTCTGTGGCTCGGATCCCTTGGAGGTGTCTGTCTTCATTCATCGGGTGGTACATGCTGGCTGCTGGCTGGGGCCTCAGCTAGGGAGGACTATCAGCTGGAAAAGGTACAAGTGGCCTCACCATGTGGCCTTGGGTTACCTCAGCCCATGGCTGCCCTCCGGCTCAGCAAACTT